TGGGTGCTCCTGTGCAACCTTATTTCAGCGCCATGCCGGAGAGTTCCTACCGCCCAACAGTTATTCAGGGTTCCTCCAGTGGGTATTCAGGCCATCAGGGTCAGACTCCATGTCAGCAGTCCACTGTACCGAGAGGTTGTTTCGAGTGCGGGGATCTTAGTCATGTGCGGAGGTTCTGCCTTAGGCTTCGGGGCAAAGTAGTATAGCAGGGTCAGCAACCTATGATCACATCACCAGCTACCACACCAGTCGTTCGGCCGCCTAGATGTGGAGGGCAGATGGGTAGGGAACATCCTAGAGGTGGAGGCCAGCCAGGTGGTGCTCCAGCCAGATTCTATGCCTTTCCAGCCAAACCAGATATAGTAGCCTCAAGTTGAAAGTTGAAAGTTGGCGCATTGAAGGTTTTAAAGTTTTTTAAATTTGGTTTGGAGTAGGTTTTGGTGTTATCGATGTCCGTTTGGGATTTCGAGCCTGGGAATAGTTCCGTATGATGATTTAGGACTTGCACGCAAAATTTGGTGTCATTCCGAGTAGTTTAAGTGTGAATCAGCGCATTCAGAGTAAGTTGTAAGAATTTGAAGTTCATAAGTTGGTTCTATTGGTTTTGGGTTGCGATTCTTAGTTTTAATATTGTTTTTCGCATTCCGAGGGTGAGAGTGGGTCTGTTTTATGTTTGCAAACTTGTTGGTATGTTTGGTCGAGGCCTCAGGGGCCTAGGGTGATACTCAGACGTTGCACGGATCGAGCTTTTGGCCGCATGTACTAGCTCTTGCCCACATAAGTGGTTTTGGCCATTTGGCCAGTGGACTGCAGAAGTGGAGGATCATGCGCAGAAGCGGCCTCACTTCTGCGAAGAGGAGTCCGCAGGTGCGAGAAGGCCGCAGAAGCGGGACCGCAGAAGTGGAAGCCCGTCCGTAGAAGCGGAGTTAGCCATCCTGGGCTAGGACCGCACCTGCGATGACTTTTTCGCAGGTGCGGCGCCGCAGATGCGGCCCCAGGTGTGCAGGAGCGGAAATGCTAGAGGTAGTGAGGTCCTTTTTATACGGGACTTAGGCCATTTTGGGTTCATTTATTGCATTTCTTGGGCGATTTTGGAGCTCTTAGAGAGAGGATTTTCACCTAGCTATTTGAGGTAAGTAATTTCTATCCAATGCAAGATAAATACATAGATTATGGGTAAATTTTAACATGTAAAATTGTGAAAATTTTGGGTTTAGATGAAAAACCTAGGTTTTAATAAAAATGGTATTTAACCACGAAAATGGTTATGGGATTGAGTGAAAATTATATATTTGAGTTCTTAAGATTATGGGTAACAATATTTTTGAAACTTTCCGTAATCCGGGCACGTGCGTCTGGGGTGAATTTTAAGAATCTTTCAAATTGGGTTGGGTAACTCCTCTAATAGCTAAATTATTAACTCTTGAGCATATATTGATTATTTTATATAACATTTGGCTAGTTGTGGATTGTTCGGAACCAAGTGGGGTCTTTAGAGTGAATTTGTGGCCGGAAAGTGAGCTTTGAGACGAGGTAAGTCTCTTGCCAAACCTTGTAAGAGGGAACTTACCCCATAGGTAATTTAAATTACTATTTGCTTCTAATTGTGGGGACTACGCATGCACGAGGTGACGAGAGTCCGTGCGTAGCTACTAATTATGCTTATGTCCGGGTAGTTTAGGACCCAAATCAAGAAATAATTTATAATGCTTGCACCCTACTTGTTAATTAAAAGTGCCAAAATTATATTGGAACTTGATAGAAGAATTGAAAAAAATACTGTTAATGGAAATTGTGCTCCTTTGTGTATTAGCCTTGTAATATTTTTGAATCGGATGTTCATAAAGTATCCTCTCTTCTTGTGGAGCGGGCCGAACGCCTCGGCAGTAGAATAGATGCATCTATGATTCGTGTCGCTCGATCCTCGGCAGTGTACACATTATTCTGGATCAGGCCGTACGACCTCGGCATAAATCATACGTAATAATACACGGAACCTAATTATACTTGATATTATTTTATGGCCTGAGAGGTTATAATTATTAGTGACAGAATTTGACCTGGAATTTACGATTAGTGAAAGAATTATGTATTTACTGTTTGTTATTGAGTTATTATTATTGTTTATATAACCCATGCTTATGTAGAAATTCTGTATTTTATTGTTAGCCCATAGTAAGTGTCGAAATCGACCCCTCGTCACTACTTCTTCGAGGTTCGACTAGATACTTACTGGGTACATGTTGTTTATGTACTGACGCTATACTTCTGCACTAATCATGCAGGATCTGAGCCAGGTGCATCTGGCGGTCATATCGGCGCACACCCCCGTTATTCCGAGGCCTAGTGGTGAGCTGGTTCCTGAGCCATTCTGCAGCACCTAGAGTCTCTCTTGTATCTATTTTTTGTCCACTTATTTCAGACAGTAGTTAAAGTTTTGTATATTCTACTAGTTTCTCATACACTTGTGACACTAGGTCTTGAAAAACCTACTAGTAGACTTCATGGTTTTGGGGGTTTATTTCACTGCATTTGCTCACTTCTGCGTTTTCGTCTTATTTATTTAAAAATCTTCTACTTCTTAATTTCTTAATAAATGGAATTTAATTACTTGGGGACTTATTAAAAGAGTAATCACATGGACAGTTCACCGTTGGCTTGCCTACCGGCGACGTTGGGCGACATCACGGCCTATAGGTGAAATTGGATCGTGACAGTTGGAAGGTTGAAGATTGCCCGGTTAGAGGTAAGTATCTTGGTTGATTTCAATGAGAAATCTTTCCTACAATGATATCATTTCTATGTGTTTGAGAATAATGTATATACGAGGTGACGAGCGTGTATACGGTTTCTAGATAATCAATGCTTGGGATAGTTTGTTGGGCTTTCTAGTGCCCTGTTTGCCATGCCTTACTTGTTACATTTTTAATTGTCGTATGATCACTTGAGCATCTTATTATGTTAATATAATGTTATAGGTGTTTTATAAGCTAATTTAACATTACAGGTTCCATGCACCTATTTTACATGATAATTTTATTTAGTCATACATTGTTTCTTATATGCATATTGTTAGCATATGTATTTGTTCTCATTACTTTCTTGACACTATGGGAGTCATTGAGTTGTTAAGGCATGCGCAATCACGTTCCTATTGAGGTTCAAGTAAAGGCGTGCCATACATGTTCCTGGAGGGCGTATGGATTTACATTCCTATTGCACATAGATTTGGATCAATCCCTCTAGAATTACATGATCACATTTTATATTGGACCTTGTGTGCACAGGTTTTGATTTGAGATATCGATGGGTTTCACGTTTGATTATAATACCGAGTAATGAGTTTGAGCATAAAGATAAAAGTTTTATTTGTTTTAAGTGATTCTTTGTGCTACTTGATGCATTCTTAAATGCTTTAATTGTGCGTGTTATCTATATATGTTGATTTAATGCATTCTCTTCATGTATTTGACTTGCTTAGTCAAGAGAGTATATACTATACATGTGCATATCTTATTATATTTTTTCCTGTACTTCTTTTCTATCTATGCTATGTTTATGAATTGCATAGGTTTATCAAATGACCTTTTTGACCAAGCCCTCGTCACTACTTTGTTGAGGTCGGTCAAGGTGCTTACTGAGTACATGTGATCGGTTGTTCTCATACTATACTTTTGTTCTTTTCTGTACAGGTTCTGAGCCTAATACTAGTGGGGCTCATGAGCCTATTTAGGAGTGCTTGCTTGGAGACTCAAGATAGAGCAGCTTGATCGATCTACAATGCCTTGGAGTCGACTTCCATTATTTATTTATTTATTTATTATCGTTTGTCACTCATTCTAGTATCTACCATGTTTACACTTTATTGTTGCTTTAAAGTATTTAAATTTGTGGTTTATAGTTGTTGGTTTGCCTAGCAGGTTAAGTTAAATATAATCACTATCTTGGTGATACTTTAGATCCTAACATAAGTGGGAGACATGACAAGAGAGTCTCTAAATGCTACTAAGGATTTGGTCATAAGTGTAGGAATTTTATGTAGTTTCTATGATTTGAACTCGATGAGTAATAGATAGATTCTTATGTCTACCGTAAAGGAAGTTTGCGTCCTTCTAGCGTTTGTACTAGTTTATATTTTATGATTTATGCTGACAAAAATCTACAGTATTAGATTATTCAAAAACAAAATTACATGTATCTGTTTACAGTAGGCACTAGACTGACAATCTGAAAAAGATCAAGAGAGAGAATTTGTTATAGTCCGTCGGAAGAGCCAATTTAACCGGTTGTAACTACTTACACTTTTTAGGATCTTGACTCGTATTTATTTTAGATAATATGGCCAACTAAATAATTTGAACCAAGTTATGTTAGTTTACCATTATTAATTGATGTAAGTGTATTATCCATCGTTTGAGAACGTTCGAAGTAGTTTCTAACTTAACTTATAGCATATTTGGTCAAACTTCTAAAATCAGCTTATTTTGAGAAATGTTTTTCTTAAAAGTGTTTTAAAATAAATATTTTTTGTGAGAAACTATTTATCTTTGGCTAAAAATACTTTTGAACAGTAATTAGTATTTGACCAAACTTTTAAAGAGTGTTTTTAAGTATATTTTTTTCAAACGTGATTTTCGAAATCAAAAACTACATCTGCTTTTACTCAAAATCAATTTTTTTTTCTTTTTAAAATTTTAACCAAATACTTTAACTTTAAAAAAAATATTTTTAATTGAAAAAAATATTTTCAGCCCAAAAGAATCTTGACCAAACAGAATTAGGACTTGCCCGGGCTTCTCTACACTACACCCAAAGGCCCATTCTTAAGCCAATTATTCTAACAATTCCTTTACTCTTCCTCTTTTTTTTTTTTTGCC